CATATTACTGTTTATATGTATTCTTGACACACACACACACACACACACATATATATATATATATTTTTTTTAAGGCTGCACTTTAAAAAAAAAAGATGAAATTGTCCAGAGAGCTGTTCCAAACGAATTTCTTTTAGTTTTACACTGTAAACAAAATGTCAAATAAAATCTTTCTAAGTCTAAACAGGGAGCTGAACATCCTCTTAGTGAATAAATCTTCCTTCAGTTATGTGCAGGTGGAGTTAAAGTTATTTATTAATGAGCAACATGATGATTATTTCCTGTTTATCATGCATTTTTATCTTATTTTTCAAAGCTTGTTCATTACCTGCAAGATTTCAACTATTTGCCCGTTGCAAACAGCCAGACTCATGCAAGCTACAGCATGAGTCTATTTTTGCTCTTACACTGTTTCTGGGAGCAGTAGAGACCCGACATACAAAAGGGGAATTGTGCATAATAAGTCCCCTTTAAAAGTAATTTAAGTACACAAACACTCAATTAGTAGCTTCATCTAGGAAAAAAACAAGTTTACCAAAGGAACACTGAGTTGGTAATATCATTAGTAGAATCAAAATCTAGTTAACATAGAACAGAATAGAATAGAATTGTGCTATCCTTTATCGTATGCACACTGTGCACATTACACCAAGAAAATGTGAAAAGAACAGAAAATGAAAAAGTTACAATAGACATGCAAAGGGAAAAACACACAATGTTATCTACAGTTAACAAAAGATGGCATCATATGTTACAGCAACGGCTCTATCTTTTGGTTTATCAAGGTAATTTTAAATACACCCAAAGCTCCAACCCTAAATGGCAACTGCAGTCCATTTTTCATCCTTCATTTTAATACTCGCTCATATCCAGAATATACTTTGTGACTTTGGTCTGTCAGACAAAAAATTATGATTAAAGGAAAATCATTGTTGAATCTTTGGTCTAAGTCTGCATTGTTATCACTTTTGTAAGCATCCATAGAATCCAATATCAGATTTTTAGAAAGAATATTACAGCTACGTTGACCTACTTCTACTAATCAACCATAGAATTGCACTTAGCATCTCAAATATTATTTTTGCATAGCCTGGTCAGCCATACTGACAAGGGGGATTTACAGGGGCTGGGTCATCTGGTCAGAACCAATATACAGATGTTACATGAAAACTCTAAGCGACACGCTCTGTTTTTGTAGTTGTATAGTACATGAGAGGACTCTACCGGTCTGTTGTGGTGAAGAGAGAGCTGAGCCAAAAAGCAAAGCTATCGATTTACCGGTCAATCTATATTCCCACCCTCATTTATGGTCATTAGCTCTGGGTCATTACCAAAAGAACGAGGTCCCGGATACAAGCGGCTGAAATCTGTTTTCTCCGTAGTGTGTCTCGGCTTTCCCTTACAGATAGGGTCAGTAGCTCAGTAATCCACTGCTCCTCCACATCGAGAGGAGCCAGTTGAGGTGGCTCGGGCATCTTATTAGGATGCCAGTCTTATTATCCATCCATCCATCCATTTTCAGACATGCTTAATCCCAAGTGGGGTCACACACACTAACGGGAGTTTAGAGAAGCCAATTAACCGAACAGTCATGTTTTTGGTCTGTGGGAGGAAGCCGGAGTACCCAGAGAGAACCCACGCACGCTCAGGGAGAACATGCAAACTCCATGCAGGCCATTATTTAACTATTGATAATAATTTAAAAATTATAGCTGCCCATGAGCTGCCACCTTAACATGATGGGGCTGTTGAGTGCCCGAATGATCCAAGGAGCTATGTTATCCAAGGCATTATGCCCCTGATACGGTCTCCCATGGCAAAAAGGTCCTAACACTTGCCAGTTAACTGGGAAACCTAATCAGACCTTGAAACCAGCTCCACTTTTTCCCATACCGGCTGCTGGTAAACCTTTTGAACACTTGATCGTGGACTGTGTTGGCCCACTGATTCCTTCAAAGTCAGGATCTATGTATTTGCTGACAGTTATGTGTAGAAGCACCCGTTATCCTGCAGCCTATGCTCTGAAAACCATTACGACAAAGTCGGTGGTCAAAGCTTTGTCGAATTTAATTTCAGTGTTCGGAATTCCAAAGACCATTCAGACAGACAGAGGAACCAACTTCACTTCACGTATGTTTGCTGAGATTTTGAAACAACTTGGTGTAGTTCATCAGCAAATTAGTGCTTATCATGCTCAAAGCCAGGGGGCGCTAGAGCGTTTTCACCAAACCCTGAAGGCATTGTTGCGAGCATACTGCACAGAGTTGAGTAGAGACTGGGAAGAAGTTCTTCCTTGGCTTCTTCTGGCAGCTCGTGAAGTTGTGCAAGAAAGTACAGGGTTCAGTCCGAATGAACTCGTGTTTGGACATCAGGTGCGTGGTCCTCTCGCTCTTCTAAAATCGAACTTGGAGAGTTCTGATCCACCATTAAATTTGTTTGAATAAATTAATGGTTTTCGTCGCAGACTTTTCTTGGCTGGCAAACTAGCCTATGAGAATGTTAAAAAGGCTCAGAGAAAAATGAAACGATGGTTTGACCAAAAAGCTGAAAGAAGAGTGTTTCACCCAGGAGATAAGGTGCTTGCCTTACTTCCCATTCAGGGTTAACCATTTCAGGCAAAGTTTTACGGTCCATATTTTGTGTTGAGACAGGTGTCTGAACTAGACTACATGGTTTCTACCCCAGACCGTAAACGACCAACTCAACTGTGCCATGTAAACTTACTAAAGCCTTATTTTGATCATACTCTGGAGGAAAGAGATGTGAAGGCAGTTGCTGCTTCTGTGAAAGTAGACTTGAGCTGCACAGCAGGATTAGATGAGGATGTGCAAACTCCAGATGATGCTGTGTTTCAACCAAGACTTAAGAACTCTGAGATATTGTCTAACTTACAAACTTTATTGAGTCATTTGTCTACAGAAAGAAGTGAGCAGTTAAAGCAGTTAATTTTGGATTTTCGTGTTTTGTTTAGTGACACTCCAACATGTACTAATTTAAATGAGCATGATATTGATGTGAAAGATGCGCAGCCCATCCGTCAACATTTTTATCGTGTTCATTCAGAGAAAAGCAAGTTTTTGGAGACAGAAATTCAGTATTTGCTGGACAACGGCCTGGCTAAACCATCTTGTTCCAGTTGGGCCTCACCATGTTTGTTGGTTAAAAAACCTGACGGTACTTATAGATTCTGTACTGATTACAGGAAATTGAACAGCATTACAAAACCTGACTCCTACCCACTCCCTCGGATGGAAGATTGCGTTGATCATGTTGGAACAGCGAAGTATGTGAGTAAATTTGATTTGCTCAAAGGTTACTATCAAGTACCCTTGTCTGCGCGAGCCCAAGAGGTTTCTTCCTTTATTGTACCATCTGGATGTGATGGGTAAGACTAAGAGCAGCTCAGAAGACCCTTATGGAGAGAGTCATATCAAGGACAGTGACGTCGCTCGGTATAGCATAGCAGGGGCCCCACCCTCGAGATAGGCCTTGGGTTGGGGCTCACATACGGGGCCCAGTCTGAGCAGACAACGTGTGGCCGCCCTCCTGTGGACCCACCACCAGCAAAGGGATCCATAGGGGTCGGGTGCGGAGAGCACTGGTTGGCAATTGAGGCGGTGTGCCTTGAAGACCCGGTCCACACACGCTGCTTCTGGCTGTAGGGACTTGTAACGTCACCTCGCTGTAAGGGGAGGAGATGGAGCTTATGTGGGAGGTTGAGAGCTACTGGCAAGATATAGTCGGGCTCTCCTCCGTGCACAGCTTGAGTTCTGGGTCCCAACTGTGGAGAGGCTCGAAGCCCCACTACTCTGGCATTGCCCACAGGGAGAGGCCGTGGGCAGGGGTTGCCTTGCTCATTGCCCCCCAGGTCAGTCACATGTTGGAGTTCACCCTGGTGAATGAGAGGCGTCCCAGGCCTTCGGGTTGGGGACAGGTATTTTGACCGTTGTCTCGGCTTACAGGCCCAACATCAGTGCAGAGTACCTGGCCATCCTGGAGTCCCTGGAAGGGGTACTAGATGGTGTGCCAAAAGGGGACTCTATTGTTCTACTGGAGGACTTCAATGCCCATGTAGGGAGCGACAATAAGACCTGGATAGGGGTGATTGGGAGGAACGGCCTCCCTGATCTGAACCCCAGCAGTGTTCTGTTATTGGACTTCTGTGCTAATCACAGTTTGTCCATAACGAACACCATGTTCAAGCACAAGGGTGTCCATAAGTGAACGTGGACTCAGGACACCCTAGGCCAGAGGTTGATGATCAACTTTGTAGTTGTGTCATTTGATGTCTGGTCACATGTCTCAGACACTCTGGTGAAGAGAGGGGCTGCACTCTGGTGAAGAGGAAGCTGGTCAGATCTGGCAGGCCTAGGCCTGTTGTGAGGGTCTGTTAGGAATGTGTGGTGGATCCCTCTGTCAGTGTGGTCTTTAACTCCCACCTCTGGATGAGTTTCTCCCAGATCCCGAACGAGGTTGGCGATATGGAGTCGGGTTGTTACATGGTCTCCTCCTCCATTGCTGATGCAGCCGTTATAAACTGTGGCCAAAGGTCTCTGTTGCCTGTCATGGCGGCAATCCCGGAATGTGACGGTGGCGCCTGGATGTAAGGGATGCCTTTAAACTGAAGAAGGAGGCCTACCTGGCCGACATCCAGCGGCAAAAGTTACATTTACTGAACTTCAACGTCGAACGCTCGGGTGTCTGGATGCTCTGACAGTAAAACACTTGAATGCGTTGCTCCCGACACTCGGACGTGTTGTTGGACCTCTCCACGCCACCCCCCCCTACACTTTGCATGTATATCAGACGCTTTGACACCCAGAACGCGCCCAGTGTGAATACAGCTTTAGGAAATGAGCTCTCCCTATTTTTGCTTAATTAATTAAATAACTTGATACAACATAACACCATTTGATGGGTGCAAGGCTTGGTGGCAAATCACATACAAATAGATTATTTACTTGTTTGACCGCACACTAACTTATTTTTTCTCTCTGTAGGAACCCTGTGCTCTGCCACATCAGAAAAATGTTTGTCTGCACCTTGCCAGAATGGGGCTACATGTGTGGACACCATGGATGATTATGCCTGTATCTGTGCCAGAGAAGGTGTAATATACATGGGAAAAAACTGCGATGAACTCTACGATGGTTGCTTCTTTGTGCCATGTTTAGAGTGCACCAGTACCCCAGGAACAATGGAATACCAATGCGTATGCCCAGATGGACTTACAGGAGATAACTGCACAGAAGAGGTGGATGACTGTCTGAGCAACCCTTGCTCAGAGCCTCATTCACTGTGTGTTGACCAGCTCCATGGATATTTCTGCAGGTGTCCAGCTGGATACGGAGGTCAAGAATGCAACACACGTGTGACTGATTGCATTGACAAACCCTGCATGAATAATGGCACTTGTGTGTTACAACCAAATGGCTTCGAATGTCACTGTGCACCAGGGTTCAAGGGCATGACTTGTGAGGAAGATGTGAATGAGTGTTTATCAGAACCCTGCCAGAATGGTGCCATTTGTATTGATGGAGTGGCAGAGTACCATTGTTTCTGTGTGCCAGGTTTTCAAGGACACAACTGTGAAATAGACATTAATGAGTGTGCTTCTCAGCCCTGTGAAAACAATGCTACCTGCATCAATGAGAAGGACCATTATGAATGTGAATGCATGGTAGGCTTCACAGGTAAGGTCCCACTACCACACACATCTGTATCCACTGTCTTGGTCAACATGTTTTTTAGAGTTGTTTTTTTTTCTTGCTATAGTGTTGTGTTCAATATGCTTTGCACAATTAAGTGTGGCTGTTGAGACAGTCCATCCATCCATCCATCCATCCATCCATCCATCCATCCATCCATCCATCCATCCATCCATCCATCCATCCATCCATCCATCCATCC